TAAACAAAATCTTAAAAACCCTTCCTTTCTTACTGAAGTTCTTTTCCATAAATTGATTCCCAAAGGTTCCCTCCTTTTGCTGAAAAATGGTATTGTTAAACTTGTCAGGAAAATGCAAAACACTGACCTATTTCTACCTCAAGGGCATTGCTTAACCAGTAAGTTGACAAAGATTTGTGACTATAAGAGATAATAATTGTAAATCTATGCCAAGTGATTTATAGCCCATTGACTCATAGGAATAAAATGATTTACACCTTTAAAAAAAAGGGAGATGACAGATTTCCTTTTGGTTCAATTACACAACTTTTATAAATGTTCCCTTGCCTCAAGGTGAGGTGACAAAGACACCCACTCAAGTCCTAGGAAGGCAAATTCTAGAACTTTTATAAACAACCTCAACCCTTTCATTCTTGTGTTTAAGACTTAAAATGTATGTAATATATTCATGTGGCAAATGTTAGTTACTCTCTAGTCACATTTAATCTGGATATTAATCCATGGGCTAGAGTCAGAGAAATGAGATGGACTAAAATGTCTCTATGGATTGGTTTCTAAGCTCAGGATCAGAGCTTTCATGCAGTAGAGATCAGATGGGCCTGCTCCACTCACTTATCTCAAAAGCACATCAAATGCAAGGTATTACAACCAAAACCATATATGCCTTCTCCATCCCCGTCCTGTCCAGGGTTCCTCACTCACCAAGTGGCATTAGTTGTGAAAGCCAAAAATCTAGGTGTCTTCTTTGATTCAACCATTTCCTCACTCACCCATTTCCTCATTCCAACCCATCATCAAACTGTCAATTTTATCTACTTTATCCTTCTAGAGATAGCCACTGCTTCTACTGAGGTTTAACCCTGTTATTAGCCTGTAGAGTTCATTCTTCACCCTAATTCAGATTATCCATTTCCCACTAAACTGAAAATATTATGAAATAGCTCACAAACACCAAAGGAAAATATGTACCCTATAAAGCATAATAAAATGAATATTCACCCATCACCCAAGTTAAGAAAACATAATATTTTTTCATGCAAATATAACTCCCCTGCTTAAAATCTACATGATTCAGTCATACAGGTCTTTCGATTCTTAGGTTCTGGCTGCTGTTTCTTACCTCAGGTTCTTTGCTGTCACTCCTGTTAGAATATGCTGTCCTGCCTTCATTGACCCTTTAACTTCTCTCATGCAACTCTCCTCAGAGTACCCAGGATTTCCCTTCACAAGTATTGACATTTGGAATAACATATTTATGACTATGATATGTCTAAAAGTTCCATATGGGCACAAACCTTATCTTTTTGGCTAATCATTGCAGCAACTGTATCCACTATACCCTGACACTAGTAAATGTTTGCTAGATGAAGAAAGGAAGGTGACTTCCTGAGTTATAGATGGAGGGCTGGGGAAGGAAAATACCTTAGAATTCCCTATGAAGTGCAGTCACTGCATATGAAGATAATCCTACCTTTAATGAATTCTAGCCTAGAAGTTGTTTGTTTCATGTAAGGACTGCCTAATTTAATTGCTTCAGCCTTAAAAATGCTTCACAAACTATCAACCTTCAACCAGTGGGCCTACTATATTAATTGCCATTCACTTAGCTAAAAACCATATTTAACTGCCTCAAGGATTAGGATTAGAATATTAAAAGTTAACATCTTTACTTTGACCTTGCTCAACCAAGAATTTGTCCTAGGAATAAAAAATGAAGAGCTCAATAAATTATCCATTTTAACTAAAAACAGGTTTGCATTAAGTAAATACATCTGAGATAAATGTTCTATAGTTGTACATGTGAATATAAAACATTATATTCACAAGTACCCTTTGCCTAACCATTATATTTACATCCACACTAATAAAAGACAAACATGCAAATTGACCGTACCTTTGCTACACCCTAAGCCACACCCGCCAGCCAATCAGAGCGACTATATGCAAATTAACCCAACCAAGATGGCGGCCGGCAACCACAGGGCTGGAGCAGACAGGAGGCTTGATTGCCCCAATGATGGAGGAAGCCAAGCTGCTGCGGCAGGCTCTGAGCTCCACTCAAAGCAACAAAGTTTCAATTATAGAAGATAAATAAACCCCA